ACATTGTAAACACAAGGTAATATACTACGGAAAAATGAGATTGGCGCCTGCGCAAACGCATTATAAACTAAAGAGAGCAAACAGAGTTAACGAGGCTGAAATGAGAAAAGCCTGTGTGCCAAAGATTGCATGAGAGGAAGGCATTCTCTGGGAAGGTTGCGGGTGGCCCACTGATGAAATTGAAGGAGTTCTAATGTACCTCATAAAGCATTCAAGTTCCATCGCCAAAGCCCCTAATCTGCAAATCAGAGAAACCTTAAGCTGCTGCCCATGAGGCAGCCCCTATTCGAAAACTGTGCGTTTAGTACCAGGAGGTGGGATAAAAGAGCTCAGAATTTCCCCCAGTTATGTGGAAGTAGGTGCGGAGTGATGACAGATTGACTCTCTTCAACATTGGAGGCCAAAGCCTTGAACCTCGACACCTGCAAGCGAGACAGGTTATCAGCAAGAGTATTTTTCTTTCCTTGAATATGCCTAGCCCTGAACAAAATGTTGTGCTAAAGGCAATTAAGAATTAGCTCATAGATGAGGTAAAGCAATTCTTTTCTTATGAGGTTTGGCAATTGATAACATGGATAACTCTCTCGTTATCTGTAAAAGGTGAGACCCATTTGTTGGCCAAAGACTCTGCCCATATGCGCACCCCAAGAACTGTAGGGAAAAGTTCAAGAAATGCAATGTTTTTGTGAGTCCAATCAGTAAGCCACCTGCCAGACGTCCATTTCCTATTAAACACAATTCCGAAGCCCAGGGATTAAGCAGTATTAGTAAAAAAATGTTAATTAGACGAAGATCACAAGACGTTCTCCAGAAATATTGATTTGCTGTTGTGAGACTGAAAAAATGATTCCCACATGATCAAGCCCTGTTTCACTTCCTGAGTCAGGTGGATGCTATGGTTAGGGTGCTTAACCCCGATGGTAAATTTAATTAGGCGCTGCAAGAAAACCCTGCCAGGCATAAAAACATGGCATGCAAAGTTAAGGACACCAGTGAGTGACTGCAGTTCTCTCAAGGTCAGCTTGTTACGAGATGAAGTGTCCTCAATGGCTGACAAACATTTTTCGATTTTTTCCTGAGGAAGCCTGGACTCAACAACAACAACAACAGTTTATTAAGGTATTTTCATTTACATACATGGCATTACCTATTTTCTTGAAAAAGTAAATAATTATATTTAATTGGTTAAGTCACCTTTGAAAATACATGGTCGGGTCTACAATTCATTAAAATCTCAAAAATAAAAGCAGAAACTGATTTACAAATAAAAGGATAAATATTTTTAATTAGGAACAAAATTTTTCATTTCACATCTAAATCATTAAAAAAGTTATATTTGGTAATGATTTCATCCAAAAATTTGTTGCGAAGCGTATCGTATAGAGTGCAGGAAAACATAAGGTGACATTCATTTTCAACTTCATTGGCTTCACATAAGGATCAGATTCTTAAATGTTCATGAGTCAATGATTTCCTAGGCGAAATTTATTAACAGCAGATCTATGGAGAGGATTTTTTATTGCATCTAGAAACTCGGTTCTGTTGGTATCTCTTTTAAAAGTATTGTAAAAATTAAGTTTCCTGTTCGAGGACATAATTAAGGGTTGGTGGTCGATGAAAGCTTTGGACAAATTTTGAGCGACACTGGAAATGAGAGTTTTACCGTTGTTTTCCTTTAAATCATTGAGCCTGAACTATATTCATCACATAATGTTTTAATCTCTTGTGATATGCCTGGCTGATTTTTCTCAGCCATATCCTTTGAAAGTTGTAAACACTGTTTTGCAATATTATCGTGTGGCGGGTTTTGTAAATGGATCCAACATTTTAACATATTAATATCTATGGTTACCTTCAAAGATAACCTTCCGAGTTCATTTCTGCCAGCAACATTTGAGCATTGTTTGTTTATTCCTAATGACTGTTTACAAGGGAGGATATGTGTTTTTTCAATAACATCTTTTTCCCAGTTGGTGAAATCATCTTTGTCATAGATACCCCATACCTCTGAACCATAGAGGAGAATGGGTTGAAAAAGTCACTTAAAAAATTTATTTGTGGTATCGGATGGTATTTCTGAGGAGAAGTCTAGATAGCGACGAATTGCATAGAAGGATTGCCTTAGCTTATCTTTTAAATTTGATTTACAAACTTTGAAATTTCCATTGGAGGAAAAATTGATTCCAAGGTAAGTGTAATTGTTGACAATTTCTGTTGTGCCTATTGATATGAAAGCAATGTTTATTAAGAGTCGAGTCGACTTCCTATATTTCTTCTCGAAAATCATAATTTTAATTTTCTTTGGATTACCTGATAAAAGCCAATGTTCACAATACTCTGAAAGGATGGACTCGAAGTCATGCAGTCGAGTTCTATACCAGCAGAATTCAGGATATGACAAGGTCCTTCTATTTTCTCAGTCGCAATGGGGACCCTGATTTCAGCGCAAAGGTTTAGGAAAAGAGTCAACTGTAACTTACAACGAGAGATGGACTGATCGACAATCAGAAAATCATCCAGAATGTTCTGACACTCTGTATACCTAGCTTGTGTCGTGCTATCAATTCTAAGGAAGTACTGAACTCCTTGAAAATACGACACAAAGCGGAATAGCCCATTGGCAAACAATGATCAACGTACCATCTAGCTTTCCATTGAAGAAAACCCAACATCTGATAATCAGAAGGATGAACAGGTATAATACGGAAGGCACTTTTAATGTCAACTGTTGCATAGTGAACAGATGAAAGTTCTTGAGGGAGACCATAATTAACAGATTTACTCTTCAGGGTATGACAAATGATGAATCATTCTGTGTTCCCCCTTAAAATGTTTGGGGGACTTCTCCAACAGGGGACACCCACAGTGGGTCCAAGGTGGGGGGGTATCAAAAGGACCAACAATACGGCCAAAAGCCACTTCTGATTGTATCTTTGAATCAATGACCTCTGGAAATTCACGAGCATACGCAAGATTAGGTGCAAGCAAACTTTTCCGTTCCCCAGTATAATCTAACTCAAAACCCTGCATAAAACCTGAGATAATCTTGTGTGAAAGGACGCTGTCATAACCTTCTAAATACTGAGCAAGTTTAACTGCATTTGCTGGAGTTGGAAGTATTTTGGGGTTCATTAGTTGGGCTTGACTTTGGCCCTGGTCGAGTCTGGGGCAATGGGAAATTGTGTGACCACCCCCACATTTGAAACAGGTGTGCTTGACTGAGCAACCACTGCATTGAGCACAGAGTAGAATTTGAAGCAGTAACCTCGGTGGTATTAGTGAGGCCATGTTTGGAAGGAAAGGAAGCTCGAGCTCCTGACCTAGCAACATTGTGTGTCGTAAGCCATAACCCTAAATGAGCCTGTCCCAAGGTAACAAGTAGGCATCCCTCAACTTATGGAAGGACTCATCATAAAATCGCCAATTGCCAGATTTCCATGCCGAGTCTCTAACTATAGGCATATATTTCAAAGGTGTAGGTGCCTCACTGGGTGATCTCACAGTAAATAGCAACAAAGACCAACAAAGGATTTGTCCACTGTACTATGTTGGTGATCGGGGAATATCACTACTAGCCATAGCTGGCAAAGTCCTTGCCAAGATCGTCCTGAACAGACTGATGTTCATTTCGGAAGAAGTTCTCCTGCGGAGTCAGTCAACAGCGTCAAATGCTTTTGTCCACACTGCACAACCCTGTGGAAGATCCTTGAAAGCTATGGTTGCCCTGATAAGCTTGTAAACATTATCAAGCAGTTCCACTATGAAATGAAGGCACAAGTCTCAGTCGGCAGTGAACCCAGTGATGCCTTTTTAGTCAACTATGGCGTGAAGCAGGGGTGTGTGCTACCTCCAAGTCTTTTTTCCCTCTACCTCACAGCTGTGCTGGAGACTATGAATGAAGGGCTCAATAGGGACGTGTTCATTCGCACAGGGACAGATGGCAAACTGTTCAATCTTGCCCAGCTTCGTGCCCCCCCAAAAACACTGGAGATGGTATCGGAGAACTGCTCTATGCTGATGACTCAGCCCTTGTGGCCAACAACGCAGTTGATATGCAGCAGATTGTGGGTCGTTTCTCCTCAGCAGCTGATATGTTTGGTCTTAAGATCAACATATCCAAGACCGAGCTGCACTACCAGCCTCCTCCAATGTCCATTGAACTGCCAGAGACAATTACGGTCCATGATGAACCACTGAAGACGACTGAGTCTTTCACTTACCTGGGCAGCACCATCACAAACACCAACTCTGCGGATCTGGAAGTGGAAAGGAGGATCCAATCTGCCAGGAAGGCCTATGGTGCGCTACAAAAGAGACTCTGGATCTATTATGACATCAGTACAAAAACCAAAGTGAAGGTTTACTCAGTTGCAGTCATCCCTTGCCTGCTTTATTCCATCGAGTGCACCACTCTTTACTGCAGGCACATCATGGCTTTGACAAGACTCCAGCTTCGCCACCTATGCTCCATCCTTAAGATCAATTGGCAAGACCGTATCCCAGACGTTGAAGTACTGTGCCATGCTCACACAGTCAGTGTTGAAGCCCTAATAACCATGTCACAGCTTTGCTGGGCAGGACATGTACGTCGCATGGCCAATGGCAGGCTGCCAAAAGCTGTGTACTACTCGGAACTAAGCCAAAGTAAAAGGAGCCATGGAGAACAAAAATTGCGTTTCAAAGATGTCTTGAAGCGGCATATGAAGAAAACAGGCATCTCACATGATACCTGGGAGGAGGAGGCAGTCCAGAGAGACAAATGGTGAGGACTGTTGAGGATGGCCATGTCAGCTGTAGAAGAGCAGCGTCAGCAAGAATATCAGTGTGCAGATGTACGACGACACTCACCAGCTACTTCGAACAGTTTCCAATGCAACAATTGTCAATGTTACTGCAGATCCCGAGCAGGTCTGACTGCCCATACGAGAGCCTGTTTAAGATAGGCCTCAACTCAAATACAAGACAGTCATCTTCGGCAATGAAGGACAGCCATTATTATATTATGTTGGTGATTGACAGCATTTTCTGGTTAGGAACTGTGGCAAGAGATTGTCCTCCCCAGTTTTTTGAAGTTTGACGCCATATGTCTCATTGGAGGGTTGCACATTCAGTAGCAGTCCCAGATCAATGTATTCGTTACCCCAGATCTTATTCTTAATCTTAGTGGAGACTAAAGAGCCCAAGGGAGTGGCAACTGAGATAAATGAACTGTTAGTACACCTGCCATCAGTGGACGTCTCAGCTGCTTGGTTAGGGCCTGTTTTGTGTTGGATAGCCTCTGAAACTGATTTCTTGACAAAGGGCAGTGAATCAGGTTGGTGCTGTGTTCCAGGGGAACAGACTGGCCATGCATAGTGGAGGAAGTTGAGGGCTCGAGTCACAGCACCTGCAATCTGGTGGACGAGCTGTTCCTCAGATGTTGTTTCAGGTAATGAACTGTTACTTGTAATGGTACTGGCACTGGTAGAGGTAATGGTATGCCTTTTAAATGAGGTGCCCTTATAAGAAGATCGGGAACCGCATTATGAAGACGTGAAATGCCTGTATGCAAAGACAAAAACATTCATCATGCACAACTAATACTTAATTGTCACCACTAACAAGATATGTACAAAACTGATTAAGTAATGGTCCACGTAAGAACTAGGCAAAGGAACAATAGGCCAGTGCAACAGCGGCAGTTACTTTTCAGGTGCTAATTTCTCTAATCAAATTAAATCTGAATGCTCTGATTGGTCAATGTAGCGAAAAGTGCGAAATTTGAATTTCAGAGTTGAATTAAGATAGCGTAAGACTCATTCAAACAACTTTTTATTTCGCCTATTGCTTTGATACTGTCAAAAATATAACATATCTAAAATTTAGAGGATTTCTATGCGTCAAACTCGAGGAAGTTAAACTAATATAAAATTACACAAGGATTATTACAGTGATACATCAATCAGCAATCTTGTGATAAACATTTACGTCGGCAAAGGAAATGCCAAAACCATGACCGGAAACAGCAGTAATTCACGCTCACTTGGCAAACGCACCAATGTTGAGGGTTATTCCCCCACAAATACAGAACAAATAAACAAGAAAATGTAAGAAAAAAATCATAACTGTTAGCAAAATAGATGTTTCAAAAAAAGCGTTCCACGTTATCTGTTTACTATATTTAGTTTAACTCTATAAGAATTTTGTTCTCTCTTCCTTTGTTCTTGGAAAGGTAAATATGGAAACTGCAGTCACTTTTCCAAGATCTTTTATAACACGTTATATTACTACTCAAAACGTGAGAACTGTTATGATCTCTAAGCTGCCGCAACATTACAAGGGAACAAAGTGTGAGACTGCTAAAAATTGTCACCTTGGGATTGGCCGACAAGTGGAAGGTTTCCGGTAGCGTCTTATTTCCAGGTATCATTTTCAGATCCACAGTAGCTCCTTGTTGTATCAGAAAGAGCGCAATTATTTGAGGAAATTTGTCTTACGTAAAAAAATGGACCAGAGGTGAGTAAACTTTATGGCATTTGTCTCGTGTGTTTTCCAATCACTGTCGTATTTCTTCTAATGTTGCGCTTTTATTTTAGGAAAAGGGCTTTGACGTCAACATCTGGACCATGTGCAGATCGGGAACCCGGCTCACAGTCAACAAAACAGAGAAAGCTGGATTCTCGCGTAAGTATGTTCATTTTTTTCCTAAACCATCCGATTATTTTCCTTCTACTAAGATGAGATTTTTCTTGTGAACATGTAGAGTATGGAATTATGCGGATTATATGGAAAAACAATCGAACGCCTCAGAAGAGACTGGTAATGCAGGGCCTCAAAGAAGGAAAAAATGTTGCTGCCCTGGCAGCAGACCTCAACGTAGCACAAGCAACCGCCGAGGTATACGGAATTGATTGCCTTGCTGCTGGCGCAGAATTGGATCACGAGACAATAGCAACCTTCCTGGACGTCACGGAAGAGTCTTTCTCTGTTATAAAACATGAAATTTTATCCAATGAAGAAAGGAAACTACGCACTATTCGAGATAACCTTGGGGAAGTTATTACCTATAACCAAATTCGTTTCGTGATAGCTTGTCTCATACATAACCTGGAGATGTAAGGGTTTACAACCCCCCTCCTTCCCACTGCTGTGTTTGGGTGTTGTTTTTTTTTTAGGGGGAAGGGGGACAGGGGATTGGGTTGTTTTGTTTTTGGAAAAAAAAAATCATAATTATTGGTTATAAATCGGAGTTTTTTGATGGATGTGAAATATTTATTTTGTGTGTGTTAGCTTGTCTCGTATACAACCTGGAAATGTAAGATTGTACAGCCACCACCACCCCCCACCCCCTCTCAAAAAATAAATATGGGTGGCCCTATTCCTGTTATGTTGCTGTTTATGAAGTAAAAAGAAAAAAGAAGAATGGATGTCAACAAAATGATGCATTCCTTGTAACCATGACAATCTTAGCCATAATGTTATTGCCCAATTATCTTTTCCATAATTATAACTATGTTTCCT